TAAGAAGGTGCCATCCCTCAGATTATCACCTTAAATTATCAATGACCACAGGGTAGCACTGAAAAAAATCACATCTGTAGAAAGTATAATAAAGTGGGATGAATAGGTATTAATTTCAAGAGATATCCAGAAGGTGAATTTTCAGTAATACTTGATTTGAGTCTGTTTTGTACTGATTTGCCCCTTTCTCCTCTGGGAGTATCAAAGATATTCTTAGTTTATTAAAGATTCGCATTCACTGATTTTAATCAATGTTTTCTGGTACCAAATGGGTGATTTAAATGATTCTCAAATTTCTCTTATCTTCTAGTATTTACCTATTGTGTAAGATTTTACTGTAAGAAAATATTCAAAAGTAATATATTTTTAAGATTGTTCGAACCGAAGCCTGAGCAATTAAAGTGTAAACAAAGAGGCCTGCGGCTCCCAGAGACTTCACGCAAATGGACCATCAATCAAAATCTCAGTTCCTCCTACAGAAAACTGGGATATGTGTTTGGTCTTCAACTAGAATCCCATTAAAGAGTTTTGGTTATATTGGGTAAAATATTTTTATAAATACAACTTTGATATTTTACAAATTTTAATTGGCACCAGATTTTAGAGCTGACATTACACTGACCCTGTGATTACTCCCAAGTCACCCATTTACAACCTGGAACTTCTTTGTCTAAAGTCCACAAAAACTGTCATCCACCACACTTTTGATGGTGGTTTGAATTTGCGAATACTCTCTCTCAGCAATCACAAAGCCGTATCCAGAAATATTCATCAGCAATTGTATTTGCATCTATTAAATGGAGATTAAGAGGATTTTAACAAGATTTTATTTACCAACTAATTAGAATGACAATTTGTTACAAATATGAAAATAATTAGCTTAGAATTACATAGTATACTTTTCTGGTTGTAAGAAGAAAATCAAATCATTTTTCTCCTAGTATATTGGCCTCCTTCTGCATAGCTACTTATATCAGTCATTGTTATTAATTTAACATTTTATTTTCCCCGACATCTGAATTCTGGTGCTGTCAATTTCATGAAGGTCTTTTAAGAGATAAATATGCTGTGTATCAAAAGTAGTTGTTTAAATAAGCACTCAGTTCTGATAGCTTTGCTCTCGATACTTTGCAGAGCAGCAACTACAAGAGCATTTTACCATCAGTCATGGCTTTCTTTTCTCTTCCAATCTAAGTAAATATGTTCCCACACCAGCATTATTACCCTGCAAAATTTTTCCTCATGTTTAAAGAATGTGACCCTCAGTACAATGAACAACATAAACAAATGGAATCCTGATTCCAGAACAGAATTATTACATTATTTCCTCCATATGTTAGTCAATGCTGTCTTAACGTACTTATATCGAATGTCAGTAAATAAGAAAATACAGCATTTTCACTGGTATGATGATTCGATCATTAGTAGGCCAAGCAAAAACTTACTTAACTTGAAAATATAATGTTTAGGAAGCACAAATGCAACTAACTGCTTTCCTGCCTCCATTTCCAAGGATAACTTCACTCTTCCTATTCTTTCATTTAAAAAAAAAAAAAAATTCTGTTGTCTTAAGATAAAAGAACCACAAAACTCCAAGACTTAATCCCTGCTTCAGGCTAATGACAAAAAATATTTTTCATTTTTAGTTCACATTCTGAAAAAAATTCCCTTGACAGAAAATGTTCTGAACTAGACTCTGAAAGGCAAACGCGTTTGCTTCATTTAAGTTTTTCAGGATGATAAAGGAGAAGAGTCAAGAACAAACATAAAAGTTGACCTAAAATATATCAGCTTCAAATGTTAAAATACTTTCTGGTATATTAAACAACTTCAAATTTCAAATTTTATACTGTAAATAAAAATATGAACGACAGAGCACCTTACCCTGTACACGCAGGATTAAACATCATATTTATTTCTAATCATGTCGCTGAACTCCTACTGTTTTCTGGACTGCAAATAAATGATTTATTCATAATAATGTGACAGTTATGTATGACCGATTAGTATGGAATAGAAAGAGACTTTGTCCTGAGCATAAGCTTAGAACAGGGCCTGTCCAGTGCAGGCTGCCTGTCCATCTGCAGCTAGCCAGCTGAATTTCTGACTGCCCTTCTGGTAAGAGACTCAATAGATTTTTCACGGCATAATTTCCACTCTACAATAAACTACCAATTCCAACAGACACTGTTTTAAGATGTTTCTAGATTCCAATTCATTACAATGACTTCAATCTTATTTTGGACTGTTAGGAATCTCATCCTAGTTTTCAACTTTTAAGACAAAAACACAGGCAGACAGTATGTTCCTCGATTTTGGTTTCTTTAACAGAAGAAAACACTACTACTGACAAAGCAATGAGTAAGTACAGAAATCGTCCTGATTGCACATACCTTAAAGCTTTTCTCTCTCTTTGCTTTTCACTCGTCTCAACAATTAGGACAGGGAAGGAAGACGAGAATTTCTAGTCCAGTGGTCATACTCCACGTCCTAGCATTTTGTTGCTGTTTTTCCTCCAACCAAACTGAGAATGAGAAAGTTGCTTCTAAAAGAACCTGCTACAGCAAAGAACTGGGGTGGCAGGCCGGGAATCTCAGAACAGTTAGTGTTACTCCGGGGTAGTTTGAGCTTTCGTTGTAACTAGGTACAGGGAAAAAAAATCAATGAATTTACTTAATGAATGAGCATTCATTTAAAAATTGAGTTTCTGTATAGCCAAAGCCTTACTTCCAGAGTAAAGCCGGTCTGAGACATATTTTTACCCAGATAATTTCTGTTATTTTTCCTACTTAAGGGTTTTATGAATTACTCTTTACAAAAACTAAAACTGGATCTACTATGCTGCTATTTTATATTGACAGTGCGGTTTAGTTTCATATACTGTGATTTCTATCAATTGTTGTATTCCCTTTGTTCAGTGAACTTGTTCCTTTGATTACATTGATTCTAACAGTCCTAGCTATTTTTATTGGCATCATGTGGGTAGTGCTTTGTATTACTCTACCCTGCAGTGTTAAAATAATCATGCGTTTGACTGTTTGAAAATTAGTTTAAATTTTATTATTATTTTTTTATTTTTAGGCGAGGCAATCCTTGGTTGACCTCATAGATTTCGAGGACCTTGTCAACTTACAATCCCTTATTTTATTTTTATTTTTATTTTTTGTGCCTACAGCACCTGGTCTTCCTAGGTGGTCTCCCATCCAAGTACTAACCAGGCCCGACCCTGCTTAGCTTTCAAGATCAGACGGGATCGGGTTTGTTCAGGGTAGCATGGCCATAGACAGTTTAAATCTTAAAATATGAATCTGAAGCATTTCGAAATAATGAAAATACTAAACTTCCTGTTTTTTCTCAACTCATACGAATCCTGACTCCATCTCTGTATATTCAATCTAGATAGTCTATATGACACACACACACACAAAGACAGTTTATCAGTAAGAGTTTATTCTGCATATATGCCATTGTGTGTTAGTTATGGAAATAAGTGGCAGATCTCTAGTACATATTAATATTTTAGCTACAAAACCAATAATAAACGAGAATTACTGTTAAGTGAAAAAGGCTTTATGCGTAAACTCAATTTACATATTAATAATATGATATACATTTAATAATAGATATCTACAAGACTCAGAACTTAGAATGTGGGTAAATAAATGGATTAAAATAAGAACTGAAGTCATGGCTAATCCCAATAACTATTTCCCACTCTATATTTGCATATAAAATAAACTGCAATTCCCTGGTAGCTTTTATTTTTTTTCTTTTTAAGCAAAAATAATTTACTATTAAATATTTAAAGAATCAAAATAGAAATGACTTCTGAAAATGCAAATTATTTAAACAGATGGCAATTACTGCCCATCTCAAAGGAGAGTTTTAACTTTGCTAATTTTTAAGAAATAAAGGTATAAAGTAACATATACGAAAAAGCTATGCCAAAGTAAGGTCTGCTCTGAAACTCAACCTGAGTTCAGGACCTTAACATCAGCAGATAAAGGCATTCGTAAGCATCTCACATATGATGTCAAACTAATTCAGCGACAGCCACAAAAGAAAACAAGATTCTCACATTTGTACCCTGTACTTTGAAATATATACCCTAATAGGTTTTGTTCCACGATCCTATGGACTGCCATCTAAGACCTGTTGGACAGTTTCAATACGCTCTTTTAGAAACTAGTGAACATATACCTGTCTTCCGAATCAGGACTCTAACAGCAGAAAGATACACGAGGTTAGAAACTTGGTGGCAGTGACATGTTGGATCCAAATGCAAGCACACGGTTTTTCACCTGCGATGTTTCAGGCCACCAGTGAACATGAACCCTGATGGCCATAAGGAGATTACGTCCTTCCCCAAGTGGATGACTTCTTTTGCTCTAACCAGTGCTGGCATTAGGAAGGAAACCGCGGGCACGAACTGCGAGAAAACGGCTGCCAGTGCCTCAGACTTAATTGCATAGACACATCTAGAGCAACGGGGAGAAAACTGGCTTTTGCAGATAAAAGACCTCAGAGGACCTCTGTCAACAGACATCTTATGATTAGAGGAGGATTAAAATGAAAGCAAGCACCTGGCTGGTGGAAATGGCACCAACGAAACTGGGTCAATAATCTGAGCGTCTCTTCCTGCATGTGTTTGACTGGACCTGAGGTAAGCTGCAACAAAGAATGAACATCAGAAAGTACAGGTCGGCGTGAGGGTCCAGGGCTACAGGAAGCCTGAGAACGATATCTACATCTCCTTTTCCTTCCTTTAGAAACAAAAGCAGACCACACAAGAACCCTTAACGTTTCAGTAAGAAACAAGACAAAAACTTATTTTTTTGAAAGTGCTAATGTACCAATTCTAGATAGCAACTTTGAACATTCTGGACCTCATATTTTCCACAAGACTCTACTGTAATCGGTATCATTCATGTATCTGTCACAAATATTTGATTCTAAGATGCTTTGATCAAATCTCAGATGGCTGATCAATTCTCTACAATTTATTTGTTTTCCTGAAGATCTTTCTGTGCCAATGTCTGAAAAGAAAACATAATAATTATTCATAAAGAAAAGAAATTTCTTAATAAAGGAATTACATAAAATTTATGTAAATTTAACACAATAACTGGTCATTTCTAAATTTTATTTTTTAAGTTTTTATAAAAAAGTGTAAATCCCAACATAACCCAATGGAATATTTTTAAACAAGAAAATGTTTACAAAAAATAAACATGAAATAAAACGTAACATGCTAAGTTCAAACTATATTTTACATTACTTTAAAGCTAGCTATACATGTCTCCAATTAAAATAGAGCATGGCATATACTGTGTTCATTTTGTAAACAACAAAAGTAAGAGGTTAAAAGCAATTTAAAGAGCTTCCACACAATCTGAAAATAAGTTTCCAATAATTAAATCCAAAGTTTTCGAGATCATAAAAATCTGTAATAAGAAAGTTTTAGGATCAAATATAATAAAAGTATAATTTATGCCTATCAGAAACAAAAAGCTTTTAGCATTATGATAGTAAATTCCTTTAGTGCATTAATCCTCTAATAGCAGTTTCGGTCAAGAGAATGTTGTGAGGTCAGGTTTGAATTTTTGTAAACTTAGTTTAAACCTGTACATATTCTCTTTGAGGATAACTTGCTTTATGTCACACTTAGCTCTCCAGAAACTCAAAGCACTTCACAGATTTATATGCTGACCTTAGTTTTTTTATTGCTGCTGTTTTTTGTATCTCATATAAATCCCTGTGAATGGCAAAACACAAGTTCACTGACACGTATGCCAGTAAAACTATTCTTACTAGTGGGTGAATAATGGTGATCAGAAGTCAGAGAGTCAATGATGGCTTACCAACTCCAAAAATTCGATTTCTGCTTGGAGAGCTTCATGAACACTTTGCATGTCATCTTCCTTATAAAGTTCTAATTCTTTTTTAAGTCTGTTTTAAATGAAAAATTCCCTATTAGCTCAGCAATAAACTTTTATCATTTCTTTCACGTGGATGGTGGCAGGTTTGCAGCTCTATCATCAGAATTTCAAGTTAAAAATAAAAAAATTGGAAAGAAATTTTAAGCCTCTATAATTCTGTAAGGACTACATAAAATTTTAGGAAAAATACTCCCATAAAGGAAATAAGATAGATTGAATAATAACAGACACAATAATTAGGGTAATTAAAAGAGAACAAAGTGTGGTTCAGTGGGGGAAACTACAGTATTGTCTGAAGACCTCTACAGGTCTTGGCCACCAACAAGCTAAATGACCTCGGCTAAATCATCTAGCCTCTCTGAACCTCACCTAAAAATTTTAAGCACAGAAAAAAAGTGACCTCTGAGATTTCTTCTTGCTCTAAAGTTAAACATTAACTTTATAGTACGTATATATTATTAAAATACATTTTAATTTGAGAACGATAAAGTAATATCAATGTTTTTCCCAATTAAATCTTTAACTTTTAAATATTCTGAAATTCCTTTTTTCTAAAACTATTTTATGTCCGGTTTTTAAAACTTTTTTATTTAAATTAGTTTCAAGTATACAGTGCATTGGTGAGACATCTATATAGTTCATAAAACGATCCCCCCAATTGCTCCTTCCCTTCCCTAGCCCTCCACCTAGCCATCATATTAATGCTAACTGCATTCCCTCTGGGTGCTCCCCATCCCCATGACCAACTATCAACTAACTTGTACTTCTTTAACCCTTAACCCCATTCCCCCAGCCCCCAAACCCCTTCTCTGTCCATCACCAAATTGTCCACTATATTTGTGAGTCTGTTTTTGATTAGTTTGTTCTTTCTGTTCCTTAGATTCCACATATAAGTGAAATCATATGGAATTTATCTTTCTGTCTGACTTATTTCACTCACCAGAGAAAACCAAAACAATAATTCATAAAGATCTATGCATGCCAATATTCATGGTGGCACAATTTACAATAGCTAAGATATGGAAGCAGCTTTTATTTCCATTTTTAATGTGGAAAAGAGTGAAGAAACAGGCTTACATTCCTTCCAAAAAGGAAAAAACATAAGCAAATCTATGACTGTGGTGGAAGAAGTAGAGAGCTAGGACCTGAGACTGGGCAGCTAGGAGGGTGAGGCTGCCCTGAGGGCAGATACTAAGAGCAACACTGCTCTCACAAACCTGAGCAAGTAGGACCAGCCACAAGGTGAAAAGCAGAGATCAACTTGAACCTTTGCTGAGCACTGACCCTTAAGGGGAGGTTGACAGGGTCCTAGGCCAGTGGCATTCCCCATATACTAGCAGAAGCAAAAGAAAATCCTCTAGGAAGGCAAGTTTAACATTATTTAGGCTCATAGGCCTCCCACGCGCTAAGGGCAAACAATGAGTTTACAATCAGAGATCACCAAGTACCCAAGAAGGCAAATCACTATAAGTAAAGGTGAGCAGAGAAAATAAGCAACAGATTATAACCATAATATATAAAGAATTACAAGTCAATAAGAAAAGGCCAACACAATAGAAAATGGGTGCACACAAATTTACCAGATTATTTACAAAAGAAGATAACTAATGGCTAATAAAAATATAAAAAGGTGTTCAACTTCATTAGTCCTCAAGAAAATACAAAAGAAAAGCACAATGTAATGCCACCACATACCCACCAGAATAGTTAAATGAAAAACAGGCAATATCAAGTGCTGACAAAGCTATGAAGAAACTAGAATTCTCAGATGCTGCTGGCATAGGTTATCATTTTGTTTTTGTTTTTTTTTACTTTTAACCTATGTCTCTCTTTTTAAAGTGAGTTTCTTGTAGAACCATATAGTTGTGTCTTACTCTTATATCTAATATGATAATCTGTCTTTTAGTTGGTGTGCTTAGATCTCTTACAATTAACATATTTGGCCGGATTAAAAATTTGGTAATTGTTTTCTAATTGTTCCATCTGTTCTTTATTCTTTTCTCCCTTTCTGCCTGCTTTTAAATTGACTGATTTCTTTATGATTATATTTTATCTACTCTTCAGTTAATTTTTAAACGTATTTTTTAAATTTTATAATGTTTGTACTATGTTTACAATATACACCTTCAATTTGTTACTATGCACTCTCAAATAATATTATATAACCATACTTATAGTATGAGAATTTTATAACAGCAATTCCAATAACTCCCTATTTTTTGTTCTCATTGTCATCGCATATTTTTCTGTCCCATTTACCATAAACGTAAAATATATTGCTAGTATTTTTGCTTTAGTCATTTATTTTTTAGAGCAGTTAAAAATAATAATAAAAAAAGGCTTTTAATATTTACTTTCATTTTAACCATTTCTGGAGCTTTTTTCCCTTGGAGTAGCTCCAAGTTTCTATCTGGTATCGTATTTTTTCTTTCTGAAAAACTTACTATAGTCCTTTTTGATAATATAGTCTGTCCTCAAGGAACTCTATACACTGTATTTGTTAAAAATATCTTAATAAATTTTAAGAAGCATATTATCATTGAGAATTCTCAGTTGACAGCTCTCGCTTTCGATCTTTAAAGATACCATTGCTTTGTCTTCTGTTCTTCATGCTTTCTGATAAGAAGTCTACTATAATTCGTATCCTTTGTATGTAATGTGTCTATGTCTTTTTTTCTCTGCCTTCCTTCATGATTTTCTCTTTATCACTGTTTTTAAGAGGTTTGACTATAATGTGTAAAGATGTTTGCTTTTTTTTTTTTTTAAATGCTGCTTGGAGTTCTCTGAGCTTCTTGTATCTGCGCTTCGAAGTATTTCATTATTTTTGAAAAATTCTCCGCCATTGTCTCTAGCACTACGGATGTTAGAATGGTATGAATGAATCTCAAATGCACTATGCTAAATAAAAGAAGTGAGGCGAGAGGCTACATAGCATGTTACTTCACTTATATGACATACTGGAAAAGACAAAACTAGGAAAAGAAAATAGATCAGGGGCCAGAAGTGGATTGTGGGCTTTGATTATAAATGGGCAAGTGGGAACATTTTGGGTGACGGAAGTATTCTGTTTTGATTATGGTGGTGGTTACATAACTGAATGTTTGCCAAACAAATAGAACTAAGTTATATTTCAATAAGCCTGCCTTTAAAAAAAGACAATGACAGGAATTCAGGTTCCTACAGAATGACAACCACCTAAACAAAAACAATCACTTAATAAGACCAAATAATGCCACCCATAGACTATACTGACAAGCTAACTAATAAACCGAGGATATTACAAATTTGAAATTACATTTAAATAGGAAAATAAACATCTAAATCCAGCAGAACCAGCTCTGAAGTCTACACAAATGCAGAGAGTGAAGCAGCAATTAAACGGAAGAGAGGAGAAAGGAAAGGGAAGGCAGGGTGATGCAACGCGGGCTAAATGATTCTCATAAAGAGCAAGTTCCACCATATGTGAGCAAACACTGACAACAGGTCTGAGGCCTCCTGGTCGACAATATGGGATTTTGCAGAATTGAAAGACTTTTTTTGTTTGTTTTGTTTTTAATCAATGGCTTTTTACTTTGAGGGTGGAAAGGATTGATGTGTTTTTGATTTTGTGACTTTTGTTTCTCCAGGGCCCTTAATTTCCATCTCTTGCTTTATCCTTGTCTTTAAAGGTTGTAGCCCTTCCAAGTTCTATTTCTCACTCCAAAACTATAGCTGAAATGGAAAAAGTTTTCAAAGAAAAATATTATCAATAAAAAGCAAAATCACTTTTAGAGACCAAATAATCGCGATACTACACAAATTGGTCCAGAGTATAAAAATAAGAAAAACAGTTGACTTCTTTTCTGAAGTAAGTATAATGATATCTAAACCTGATAAAGATAGTACAACACACACACAAACACGAGAATGAAACACAGTAACATAACGTGGGACAGCAATTACATCTTAGGTAAGGAAGGGAATGTGGGATAAAGGAGTTGTCCATGGCTAATGCAAGTCATTGGTAATGTTCTAGTTTAGTTTACAGGTCCTCACTGTATTATTGTACTTTCAAAGTTACAAATAGTTAGGGAAGGAAAATACAGTAGTTATAGGAAACAATACCCTATAAATGTGAAGTTCATTGTGTTCTGAACTTTGAGGAATTTAATGGTAAATAGAATTCTGAAAGAATGCTCAAGAAGGAAAGATAGAACAAATTATTAATTTTGAGCCTTAGATATTTACACAAGCATAAAACCTTTGTAATAAATATCTTTAAGAGTAAGTGGAAGGCTAAATGGAGAGTTAGAATGTACCACAGATATTGCTATACAATGTACATAAGGCTTCATTTTAATATATTTCTTTTCAAATAAAATAGGGATCTTTATTCCCACCATACTACCAATATTTGCTACTCCCCCTTTTCAGTTCAAACAGACTACAGGTTCTGTAAAATCTTTCCTGTCCATCAGAATTGGGTGGTGACCACTTTCGCTTTTAGTTAGCTAACGAAAACAATGAGAGGCTATTGAAATTAAGGAGGGTGTTTAGAGCAAATTATAGGAAGTATTTCACTATTCAACATATAATCAAGCCACAGAATTTAGATCTGCACTTAAAGATTACTGTTGCTAGCTTTAAAAGAGGCTAGATGATAACAGTATGAATATTAATACATTTGCAGCTAGCTAAAGCTATATAATAGTAAGCAGATCTTATGCCTCAGTGCATAGACTGATTGCTTACAGGAGTCAAGAAGGATTTCCTTCACCGACTGCATAATAACTAAGGGCAGTGTGCGTTGGTTATTGACGCCTTTCTCTCAATGATGAGGATGGGCCAACATTGCTAGTTTACCAAAACTTATGTTCCATGTATTCTTATGATTTCCTGCATCATTCCAAATTTTTTTTCAGTTACCTCTAAGTGTCATAGAAAAGCATAACCGAAAAGCCTTAACCTACAGAACACCCTTTTGAGAAAGAGAACTGTGCACAAGTACTATTTAAGTAGAAAAGAGGAAAA